GGTATTTTTGTAATTTCTATACCACTTGTGTTGTACGGCCAGTATAGTATAAATACAAATGCTTCACTCGCATGAAGCAAGTTCTTTTTGAGGCATTAAGTCCGCCAGCCTCTTCTCTCTTCTTCCTTCTTCTCTTCCTCTTCTTTCTCTTGCTCAACAGATGTTATCAAGTTTGCTTAAGGTTGATCTAAAATATGGAATCTTGGAAAATTCTGGATTAATTGTTTCTCACTAATCATGCAGTTTAAGTTAGCTCTTATTGCTAGCCAGGAAAAAACGCCTTATATTAGGGTTTTAGGTTCTAGAAGCAAATGATGTTCAATATTGGGGTTTAATTACAAAGGTTGGTAGGAATGGATATTATTGGATCACTTGATGAATGGGTTGATAGATGAGCTCAAGATCCAGTCTTTATTACAAGGCTACAATCTTAGTTTAAACATGAAAAAGAAGTGAAAAGGGATTAAACAGAATCTTAAAAACTCTTCATCATCTTGCAAACAATGTTATACCGACAACATATTCAATCTTTGTGTAGTTTTGTGACTTCAAAGAAAAAAATACTTGATACTAAGCAGTTCCTTAGATGATATCCTAATTAAAGTAAATTAGAAACTTAAATCCTGTGATATACTAATCAACCGTCAATCAATTGATTATAGCCCTCCAACAAGTTTTGACTTCCCAAATAAGGCCACAGAAGTTAAACTTTTGACTATAGCTCCTGACAAACTTAACAATTCTAACTTTCTTCAAACATTCTAAAGAAGTCACACAAACTCAATTCAAAATAGAGCCTCTAATTAGATCTAGTTGGATCTATGTTTTGGCACAGTTTTGTTCAGCTCATACATTAATTGATATCTATACTTTTGCAACTGCTACAAAAATATGATGGATATGAATTCTTGTGAGAGATGAATTTGCAAAGGTCCTGTGGCCCAATAGGCTTCTTCTAAGTTCTAACTTTTCCTTTGGCTCATCGGATCCCTGGCTTGGTGTAATGACCTTCATACCCTTTAATTAGAAAGAAACCCCAACTCATTTATTGGTGATGGATTCCAACAGGCTTTAGGGGCTTGGGCATAATTTAAGGGATAAGAGTTTTATCCAATGTTTACGGGCCATTGCTTGGTATATGGCATAATCTTGTGCTGATAAGTGTGAGAATGTGACTATGAGTCTGAGACTACCACTTTGTGTAAAAAATGCCAAAGGTTGGGGTCTCTCGATTGTTTCCATTTAGGGGTAGTCTTGTAGAACTTGTATTGCAATGCCTGTAGTTTATAATTGTCTATGGCCAAAGTTTACGTCATTGCTCATTAAAACTCATCATCTTGTTCAAATCTTTAAAAGTGCTGCTTTGAAGCTGGGTGTTAAGTTGTATCCTTATTCTGGGTAAAATTTCAATATTATGAAGCTTTATATGTGCACTTTAGTTGATGAAGTACATTCTCTGAAACTAAAAGTTTCATTGTCAGATTGGACCATTTGCGGCCCCAGATAAAATCCATTGGGCACCAGGCCTTCCAAAGACAAGGAGTGGGAAGATAATGAGAAGGATTCTAAGGAAAATTGCTTCTAGGCAATTGGATGAGCTTGGGGATACAAGTACACTTGCAGATCCAAATGTCGTGGACCAGCTTATTGCACTTAGTGATTGCTAAAGGGCTGAAATGAAAGTACCCTCAATCCTTCAAGATGACTACTCCCAGTTCTGGTTCAGCGAATTATAAACTTGTAGAGTATCTGAATGATTTCACTAATATCATCATCTTTATCATTATCATTATTGTTTTCTATCAAGTTCCTGTTTTTGTATTTATTGAACTGGTCTACAAAATAGTAATTGAAGGCTTCAATTTTGAGCTATCATTCAAAGTTGTGTTACTGGTATTTTTGGTTGTCATTTATTGGGGAAATATTGAGCCGAGAGTTTCTAAAATAAGAAAAATGGAGTTGAAAGAAAGCTTTTTCTTCTTTTTGGGAAAAGGATGTGTTTATTAAGAGGAGCTGAAATACTCGTACAAATTACGGGGGATCCAAATACCGATAGTCAGCTCCTGGCTCCTGTGAAGGCTTGAAGACATTGTGGAGTCCGCGTTCTGTGCACCCATGGGTGCACTGGACGAGTGAACACTCTGTCCAGGGGAAGCAAGCATAACGTTAACGGTCAAAGGCCCGTTAACATGGGTTTGGCGGTTCAACTGGACACAAACCGACCACAAAATGACAAAAGGTAAATGAAAAGGAAGCCCTCCCGCCGGTGGTTGTCCAAGTAGGTGGTGGTTGTTCCTGCCGGTGGTTGTCCAAGTAGGTGGTGGTTGTTCCTGCCGGTGGTTGTCCAAGTAGGTGGTGGTTGTTCCTGCCGGTGGTTGTCCAGGTGGGTGGTTTCTGTTGACACGAGAAGCCCTTTGTAAGAAGTAAAAGATGGGCTCGCTCACCTCGAGTTTGGTTCGGCTCGAATTCTCTTTGAGAAAAAATATTTTAAAAATAAAAAATTATATATAAAAATATTTTTTATTTGATATTTAAAAAATTAAGAATTATATTATTTTTATTATATATTCGAGCTCAACTCGTGAGCCTCACAAGTCAAGTTCTATTAGGCTCGAGCTCAACTCGCTTATTAATTGAGTCTATAAATTGGGTTCGAGCTTACCTCGAAGCTTTAATTGAAATCAAGCCGAACCGTAAAGACCTCAGCTTGTTGCCACCCCTACTGATCACCTATTTATCTCTTATGTATGGTAGTCTTGGTAGAGGCTAGAGGACAGGTCCAACCTGAGTCTATATCTCGACCCACCTAAGTTGGGCTTGGGTTGAGGCCTTGCATAGCCTAAGCCCAATGCAACCCTAGACCGTTCAAATAAATACATACCCAATATCTATACCCATCCACTAGTATGTATATGTGTGCGAAAGAGGGGGGATAATGCACCCCAATGGGTATGGTATCTTACTGTCCATCACCAAACCCACTTATACTTTTAGGCAATTGACATGATACCCTCGCTAACTTTAACCAATCGGAAATCCATGTGAATTTAAATGAATACCAGTTGATTGGTTCAGTTTTTGAGAACCATACCCTTTTTAGTACCATAGTCGAACCATAGCCCACAGGAATAGATTTTCATTCTCTCTCTCTCTCTCTCCCCCCTTAAAGTTTCTTTGATATTTTCGGTTTCTTGCAGCGAAAACTACTACTTATCTGGTGCCTGTAATTTGCTCAAAGGTCCCACCTTAACCAGAAGGTCCAAAACTACTACTTCAAAAAGACAATAGAGAAATTAGGTGAGGTTTGCATTCGTAACCTAGAAGAGAAATAGCATGCTTTATAAGAACGAAGCACGAAATAAAAAGGAGAAACTAGGTGACTCTTCCACTTTCATTTAAAAACAACTAAATTGAAACCTTAGCTACCAAAACCGGGTAGTGAGAAAGCAGGAAAAAGATCAAAGAGAGGAAAGTTTGTAAATAATAAATATATGTACAATGTAGAAATTATTCAGCCCAAACGCAATTCATACTAAAATTTAATGCATTGGGGTTGGAAAGGGAAAAAAAAAAATACCAGCCTGTGTAAAATTACAAGCTGTTGGTTCAGGCTCAGGTTGGGCCCGCCCAAGTTGCACACCCCTACTGAACTTCCATTGATGCTTACTCAACAAATACATTTAACTGCTGACTTTCATGGCTTCCGATAACGGGTATTTGTTATGATTTTGGTTTTGTTGGCACTGGTTAGCATTTCGGAGACATTTCAAGGAAAGTGAAAGATATATAGTGCAAAATGCTCGAATAATGTGTGGTCTTGCACTAAAATTACTAGTATATATTCTTTCTATAAAAATATGCCAGTTTAGCTGAATTCTCAGCTCTATACAAAAACTCGCAGAAAGTGTAAGATGAGGGGGGCACTAGGGAAGCCAGCCCTCAGGGAAAAGGGATAAAGAGGTAAAAGAAAAGATTGCAGGATTAGTAAGAGAAAACATGCCATTGCCTCCACGTGTAGAAAAACTGGAACCCAGATTCTTTTCCCTCCCCATCAAAAAAAAAATTGGGAGGCATTTTTTTTCCCGAAGTTATTGCGATGCTATATATATAAAGAAGAGAGAGAGAGAGAGCCAAATAAGCACTTGTTGACCACATCATGATCCGATTCCAATAAGCCTCAACTGTTGAAAAGGTAAATTAGCCACCGTCAGAATGACAGTATGTAACGAGTGCTTGGAAAGTTTTAATTGCAAATCAGTTTTGTAACCCTAGAAAAAACGAGAATTTCCAAAAGAAAGGAAAAAAACTCACGATGTTGTTTTCAGGCTTTTTCCAGTAGAATCCCTGAAGGAGAACTGGCAGGATGTTGCAAGCTGCAAGAATATAAATCATCAAAGCATGCATCCCCATCCACTCCAGTATCATAGTTGGGCGCCTATAGCCATAGACATCAACCTATACAAATAAAATGAAAAGATTCAAAGCACAGCCATCAAGTTTATCGAAATAAAATGTAAACAATTTCTCTTTAAGGCAGATGGGAGTTGAAAAAGCTTACCAGCACGTAAGTTCCAGTAAAGAGAATGCCAGCTGCACCGGCTGTAACACAAGTGTAACTAAATGTGTACAGGGCTTTATTCAGATGCATTCCTGAAACAAAGAGACATAAATGTTCAATAAAACAAACTTATTGTTGTAAAAATTTAAAGAGAAACAACAATTTCTACTCGTACCAAAAAAATCCAAGACAAAGCCTGTAACTACAAGACCCGAGGCAGGGATCATCCATTGAAAGATTCTTTCCTTGTGATCCTGCACGTAGTTGAATAGTTAACAAAGCTAGTAAACAAGGGGAAAAGAAAGCAGTTTCTTTCATGAAAATTTTGTGTGAGTTAATAATACCTTAAAATGCACAATAATATGCCCATAATGCAACCCGATCAAGCAAGTAACAATGGCCATCACTGAACTGCAATGGACATCCATGAAGGTTTGTGAAATGTTTCAGATTAAGTTCCACAAAATTGAATGAATTCAAGAAACATAGCATGAACACAATATTTGATTACAGACCTCAACAGTCCTTCGGGATCAAATGGGGCTTGGCACCATGAGGGAGCATCAGGAGGAAGTGGGCCATAATCTGGCGAGTTGATGCTGCATTGCTGTGGGAGATGAAAATACAAAGATAAATATTAGTTGAAGAAGGATTTATATCAAAGAGAAATTCAACAGTAAGTAGGCTTCAATTTCTTAAAAACCTTTGTTCGTGCATAGATTGGTCTCTTGTATAGATGCTGAAGACCCAGTATTTTACGGTCAATCATTCCGACAGCATTACAAGCAGGTCCTGTGTCACCTCGCACTCCACATTTCACCTTCATACGCAAATTGATATTAGAACATTTGCTACTAGTTTTAAAACCGAAGTCCTGGTCAACTAGCCAATCTATATTAATTAATTAAAGAACTTACTGAAAATATCTTCGGTGCAGCAGATGAACTTCCATTGAAAATTTGATACTCCCAGTCGGGAATATATAATCCATATAACAAGGTAAGGTATGTCGTAGTAAGGACAAAAGCCACCATCCTGGGGAAAGAAACAGGGTAGAAAACAATTATCATGTCAATCATACAAGCCTGTAGTGAAATCAGTGAAGAATTCATATGCACTGGCCATTTCATGTAAGCTACTGAGAAACACAATGAATTCAGAATTTCAGACTTGAACCCATGTCAGCCCAAGATTTTACCATTACACCAAGCCATGGTGCCTTGGAACTATTAAAATAATTACAAATAGTGACTGTTAATAAAAACAAGGGTACATTGCAAACTATGATTCCCTTCAATAACAAATACTCACCCCATGTTTCTCGTATTATGATTTATGATTACTGTACCCCTCTAGTCAACTCAAAAGGAGACATTCTTGATGACAATTGCACAATAACATGATTATCCCTAGCATTTCGCATATATATGCTAAATTCCTATTATGAAATACCAATTATACCCCAATACTGCCCCTACTCTTTCATCTTTAATATATGATGGACAAAAACCAAAAGAACTCTATCATCTTCAATTTAGTTGGTTTCAATGACATTTCACTTGAGCTGTATGTCCTATAGACAGCAAAATAAAGATGTGACTATTGATCTTTTTAAATATTTTTGATAAAATGTGTTACTATTAATCAAGTATCCAAACAATGTACCGAAGCAAAGCCTTCAGACAAGAGGGATTCTCAACCTTCAAAACGTGGCTAGCCTCTCCAATTAAAACTGGTTTTCATTTAAATTCATGTTTCTGATAAAGGAATTCAACGCCTTATATTGTTATGGATTCCATTCTTTTATATAAAATGGCTTGTTATTTACAATAAACCTGATTTTGGGGTCAAGTAAATCTAGCTTCTGAATCCACTCGTATGGAAAAATCATATGCATGCAGCAAGTAATTAACAGTTTGGACAGAAATAAATAAATTCAACATATACCACCTGGACAACACTCTAAAGAATGGCACGTCACAAATCACTATTACTCACTACCCACACTTTCAGTGAAAATTGCAAACCTTAATAGTGGTTACAAATACATAAGCAAATAGAGTATAACCTACCACTGATACCGATATTTCTTCAACAAGGACAATCCGGAATCAATATTATCGTCTCCCTTGATCCAAATCTCACACAGCGCAGATAACAGATATGCTATTGCAATTCTCTGCAGGGAGACAAATGTTTGAGATCAAATTTCCAGGCACTAACTATAAATCCAACTCAAGATAAATAGAATGACAATGGTCCTAGTTTACGCACCTGGAGGACACCCATCCATCTAATTTGATTTATATCAACTCCATAAGTCAGATTGTTTAGACCATGAAAATAACCTCCTGGTAGATGAAAAATAAAGAAAAGGTTATAGACAACACTAAATCCAAATACCCTGTTTTTTTTCAAAAGTACCATGGCTTACCAGTTACTACTCTCTTTTGGCAATAGGAAATAACAAAGTAAATCCGCTAGCCATATGAAATAAAGATTAGAGTACCTTGGAGCACAAGACCAACAGCGAATAGCTTCAGTGCACGGAGTACAGCCTTCTTGGTTGCATCAATTCTGCATGGCAATTTCTGTATGCAATAGTTATTATGAGCTGCTCAAAATATGATATATTTATTAATTTTATACAGAACTACAAAAGAGGAAATTCCACTCCCTTTTTTCTTTGGTTCTCAATCTTCCTCTTTCCACTTAAATTATCTTAGTTGGTAAAAACCTGCATAGCTTGAGTTGTTTTCATGGACTCTTTCACATGGGTTTGCTAGTTGAACCGTTTAGAGAATTTAAATGACTCTAGTGGAAGAGTTCATTAAACCGTTTAAAGAATTTAAATGACTCTAGTTGAACCGTTTAGGTCAGATCCCAACCCTTTATTTTTTTATCAGCAATATGAGTTCAATAATCAATCATTTCTCTCCCAACCCTCTATTTTTTACATCAGCAAAAGAGCTCATTAATAAATCATCTCTCCCAACCTTCTATTCATGGAGAGATTCATCCAAAAATCACTTGCCATGTGTTCAAATAAAGCACTAGTGCCTACACCATGCCCTACACCTCGATACCCCACCTTGTATTGGGCTGTTTTCCCATGTAATGCCATATCTTGATGCAAACCCATTATGATCTGAAGTTTCAAAACCGTCAGTAACCAGAAAAAGAAGAGAACAAAAAGTCACTTTCCATATGGCAATGATGCACCAAACAAGTAGGGCCTTTTAGGCCATTATCTAAGTATTGTCGGGCAACTGAAACTGCATTGAGTTCAGAGAATGTTTCTCAAATAGGTTCTTAAGCCCTCAAAGATATGGGTAGAGATGAAGACAGTCTAAGTATATACCTTATACGCAAGTGCAAGTGATAGTCCAACAATGAACAAGAAAAATGGCATGACAAAATCTGCAAGCGTTACACCATCCCACGGTGAATGATTGATTGATGGAAACATTCCACCAGCATCATCGACAAGAATCATTAGCTGCAATAATAACAACAGAAGTAGAGGATTATAAGAACAAAGTACATTGTCATAGGTTGTTTGATATGTTGACATGGTTAGCTGCATAAGATCTCGAGATACTTTAGAAACAATGAAGTATACGTTATGAGTCTTATGACATCTCTCATGCATGATACTCTGGATTGGGTCATAATATATTAGGTTTAGGGCCTCATAATATGCTTATTTGCTTTCCCAAAATTAATTCATTAAATCATATTTTATCCCATTTGATGGCGGATTTAGAAAAAAGCAACTGCTTATAGGGAAAAAAATGTAAGACTTATAAAGCTGCCCCTGAAAAATCAGGACTAAATAATTGCTCTGGATACAAAAATGTTATGAGGTCAAAGATGCTTTTTTTTTTCCTTGAAAGCCAAAGATGGACTTTGAAGATCCATAGGTGAGTACCTTGTATCTGTATGCAAGCCTGTATAGGTTTTAACCCGGAGGCATTTGAGGAAAGAGAAATAAGACAGTGGAAGAGTGGATATATGAGCTGGAATTTAGAAGCAGGAATGAAGAATGTCAAACAAAATGAATGATAATAGCGAGGCTCATATAGGAGGAACATAATAATAAACTGCATTCTGGAATAGAGCCAAAGTAAAGGTATCTCATAATGAAAGTGAAGCGTATAATATATTTGTAGATGAGTCATATGCAGAGAAGAAACAAGCTGGAATAGGTTTTGTGACATTGAATCCTAATGGCAACTTTATTGCAGTAGTAGGCCAAAGATGCAGAGCACAAGGAGCAGAATACGGGGAGGGATGAACATCTCTATGTGCGTTTAAGTAGGCTATAGCTTTTGGAATGTGAAAAATCCAAATGTTAGATTCTGCGAATTTGGTAGCTTAATTAAACAAGATATTGAAGAGTGTTCGTTGGATGGAGCAAACACTGACCGAGGAAATTATGCGAATATCTAAGTTTTTGCATCATGTAAATCAAGTAGGAAAAGATATGGAAACATGGAATACATTGAAAGTAACCACCACAGTGGCAATGGCATCACTTTTTTGGCCCAAGTACAGTGTTGGGGCACAGTATAAATTATGTCATCCAAGGTGAATTACGGAAGACTATAAGGTCTAATCAAAATCAAAAGTTCAGAGAAGAAAGATGTTATAATCCACGCACCGAACACTGAACAATTAGTCGTACAATTGTGGTCACACCCACCTCCCTAAAATTGTCATCTCATAGAACAGGAAATTGCTTAAGAAGCAAATCTTGCCTACCTTTAAATTATAAACTTGATCAACGCAACCCAGTCACCAGTCACTTGACTTCCACGCGTATCTTCACTATCTGTTTTGGTTCAACAATTCGAAAGTGACACTTCCTACTCGGTGGTTTTCTGACTAGGTGAATAAGTGGGATATTTTTACCCCTATTCCCAGTGGCTCTCTTTTCCTATTCACAATCCAATAGGAACCCAGCTTGCATTTTTTTTTGTTTGGCACTTTTCGCTGTCTGCTAATAAATGGACAAAATGTGCCGCATGTTACAACCCTCCATGTGGAACTGAGTGGAGCATCCAATAGCCTACTGTGGTACGGGCTGAAGGTAAGATAAGAGAAAAGGCCTTCTAGCAATTCCATAGGGTCCTCTCACATGAAGAGCACACTTCTCCAACTCAAGGCGGACATGGGCATCAGTTAGAATCCAATGCAGGGAGGACCCTCTTCTGTATCGAACACCTTTTGCAAAACAAGTTGCATGATAGAAAAAATGGGAACAGTATATCATCATCAAAGCTTTTGATAAGATGGTTTTTCTTACGATAGAATGTAGACACCTGGACCACATCTTCTAGGGCCCTGACTAAAAGGGCCAAAATACTCGATTCTAGTTATCCGTGGTCTTGCGAAGGGCGGACAGGAAAGTGGCCTCTCTCAAATTGTAAAATAATTTGAACTAAAATATATATAGGAAAAATAAATAATAAAGCCTGGGACAGGATTTCGTGATTTTTTTTTTCATAAAAGCAAACAGAGAGGAAGGGGGGATATCGGATGAAAAGAATAAGAAGCAGCAGCAATTCATGATTTTTTTTCATAAAAGGAAACAGGGAGGAAGTGGGGATTTCGGATGAAAAGAATAAGCAGCAGCAGATATTCAATTCATAGCTTACAAGGACCGCACCAACACCGACGCAAGTCGATTGTTAGTTTTGGAGCTGGACAACCAAGGATCCATAATTAATACAAGACAGATGAATTGGTCACCAGGGGCCCGGGCACCAACATGTACTAAATATTTAAAATGCCTTTCTCAAAACAACAAGGTAAAAAAATTGTATTTTAGATAATCAAAAGAAGAAATAGGACGACTGTGTCTGGACCTAGGAACCAAGCACGCGATGATATGATGAAAGATAGGTTACATACATCTCATGCCACAGATACTCTGTACTAGTCATCAGTGGCCAATTGGACAGGGTACTGGGCCAGACTGTGAAATCACGTCTTTCCTTCCAATTCAGTTCAAGTCACTAAACGCTAACGTAAAATGCAGCAGCACCTACTTGGCGTGTGATGAAACCTACAAGAGAGATTGATAAGAAGGGTTGCCTTGTACTCCTCCCCTCTTGAACGAGGAGCCGTCTCCCAACTGACGGGTCAGAGTCAGACCCACCAAGCAATTAATGACAGAAAACTTTCCACCCTAAAATCTGCCAAATTAACTACACTATAAAATAATAACTGATATTCCATCTAAGGTTTCTTCTCCTTGTTATTCGATTTGTTTTTATGGATTCCTGTATTATTTGTTTTGACCATCCAAATATTTTCTCAACGAAAAGCAAACTAACCAATAATAATGGGGATTTTTATTTTTTGCATAAAATTCCCCTAAAAATAATCACCGTCATCTATCGAGCAAATGAATGAAGACAAACCAGGTCTTTACTCTTGCTGTTTTTTATTTCACGGCTGGAAGACACTACACACTTCCCTATGACCATAACATGACCTTTTAACAACAAACAGAGTATCAACGTGAATGTATTGTACGAACCAGCTATTACTATTACTTTATTATTATTGTCCCTTAAAATAAGAAGGGATAAGTGAACTGCAAATCTGCCATCGACCTCAGAAATCTAAAACTGCAAATCTTTTCTAATAGCCCCTATAAACCGCATCCTGCCCGTAAGTTTGACATCAATCTACGGGCAAGATTCAAGAAGACGCGGTTTGAATCCTTGGAGGATTTAAGAAAACGCGGTTTGAGCTTTGAAGATTGAAGCGTTGGATGTTGTTGGAAGTTTGAAGTGGTGGGGGTGGGTAACCAAAGCAAGGAAAGGATCCCTCATCCCTGGTTTGATTCTGACTTGAGAAATACTAAAGTCGGCAAACCTAAAAGAAAAACTACCAAGAGTCTGGGATGAGTCTCAGAAGACTTTGTCAAACGTGAGGTAGTCTTCCTACTACACACACTTACAGCACTCTTTGCCTTCTTGACCCTGCGGTAAGTAACTGGTGTGTTTGTATGCTAGTGTGACACTGACTCAACAACAAATCTCATGCGTAGCTTCTCCAAAACCACGTGTATTATCGTATTATATATATACACTTAGAAAGTACACGTAAGGGCATATCATATTATATTGTGATGGCCGATGGGCGACTACCAAATCAAGGCCAATATTCCAATCCATCCGCTCTGATGAGTCTTAAACTCTGAACTCTGAAGGGGCACTTCCAAGTTTCAAGTAAAAACTAATATTAGATTTTAATGTAAGATGCCGTACGCGTGAGGGAGAAAGAATAACCTACGTATGGTATGTATGGTCCCCGGTGCCGATAATGGCGAAAAGATAGAGAGAATATGATCCGAAACTGAAGTAACACATGGGAATGAGAGGGCCTAGGGGAATCACCCGAAATCATTATCTAGAGCCTAGAGGCGCTTGCTACTTGTCTTTTTTCTTCTTCTTCTTCTTCTTCATCTAATTAGCAATTACACAGCAAAGCAAGCGCCAAACGGAATGATATAACAAGATGAAAGTAGGAGAGAAGCGTGACAGAGTAATTAACTCCATTTAATAGTAATACAATGCAACGTTAAAACAGATCAAAATGCGATCGAAAATGGCAAAGAAACATTAAGCCCCATCAAGAAGAAAAACAAAATGTAATAATTAAATAATCCGTCTGTTTCTCCAAGATCCAATAAGAAGCGCGAGTTTATCTCTTTCGGTTCAGAGATTCCCCCGCAATGCAGGTGCAAAAAGGAAATGATTATGGAAATAAAGAAATTTATGATTTATTTAGTATCATAATAACAACGATTAAGGAGATAAAATTGAGATAACTCTGATCTTACCGCGACTGTGATTCCACGGAAGACGTCCAGCGAGACAAGGCGGCGCTTGGAAACGGATTCTCCACCGGCGGCGAGAACAGCGGTGGCTTTATTAGCGTCTCCGGCATTGGGCTTTAACATTGAATTCTGGCGTCCTAGTTCGATGTCTTTCTCAAAACACTCTCTTCCTTCGATGGTAAGCAAGTTTCTGTTGGGATCCCCGATTCCGGCATCCTTCTCCTCTCCTTTTATCAGCTCGTACATCGTCATCCCAATCACGATGTCTCTCGGGCCCAAACCAACCAATCAGACGTTGAAGAAAGAAAGATCGATCCAAATCCAAGAGAGAAAAAGAAAACCAGGATTCAGAGGAAGGAGAAGCAAAGGCGGATTTTTGCAAGATCCCAGAAATCGAGAAATGCAAGAGAGATAGATAGCCGTCTAGATCAGAAACAATAGAGAAATCGAGGGAACTCCCCTGGCATTATTGACGCAGGGGGAAGAGAGACAGATATATAACCAAACCGATTATTGTTTGTTCCTTTTTTTCTCCCTCTACCAGGATCTACAAAGGACTTTGACACCCTTTGAAGAATCTGGGAGAGGTTTTCGGTTGGAAGAGAGAGAGCGTTCAAGCGCCTCTCTTCTCTCCGTCTCTTCCCTTCTCTCTTGTTGTTCTTTAACCGCTTCTGCTCTATCTCTCCGTTCGTTTTATATACTGCCTTGTAGCCGTGAAATCCGCAAGAAGCAGATTTATCACAAGTATGAGATCTATGGCTCTTCTCTCTCACACCCTCTCTCTCTCTCTCCCCGTCTCCAACCCCTACTCCGAAACCCATATTTATATATTACTATAATTAGTAATAAAATATCGAAATCATGGGACATCTGTGGACAAATTATAATATAATTGCCAAGGATAAATTAAGTAATTACACAAGTATCCTAATCATTCTCATTACAAAATACCCGTGCCCGAAACCGAATCCGAACCCTCAGCATACACGTGCCAGTCGTTAATTTATTTAGTTCTTAAGTTTGCTTATAATCATTTTATTACCCTGTTTATTTTTACTGAGCAACAATAACAACATATATATAGCCTTGGGCCTTGGGCCTTGGGCCTTGGCCTTGTCACCATGTGTTTGTGTGCATATGATATATTGACGCATGACCGAACTCAAGATGGGGGCCCACTGGATGTTGAGAGACTGGCATCGTGGCACGAGTACTTGCCAATAATAATATGCCATGAAACGGAAGACAGTGCAAGTGGAGAATCTGAAAGAGTCTGATGATAACTGTTGACTCCAACATGACTGATTCAACACAAACCTGTAGACAGTGCAACTGTGCAAGAGGGAGAGTCTGATCTGATGACTGTTGACTGCTTGGATTGGATGACTGATTCAACAACCTCAGCCTAATTGCTGATCCATAATATTATAGCAACTGTGCAAAAAATTTTTTTTTCTCTTTTTTCCTTTTTTTTGTTGTATATTATTATAGCAAAAGGTTTCTATAATTACTGATCCATAATATATGCAAAGTGGTCAAATTTAATTTTATATATTGTGTCCTTCCTTTAATAGCAAATCAAACCCAATTATAATTTCTAAATTTAAACTAATTAAAGACCCATTAGAAAACAAATTGAAGTTGATCTTCTAAATCAACTAAACAACCTCAGCCTAATTGCCTAACACTCGTGTACTCAAACAAAATATAATAAAAATACATGGAAACAGCGGCTACCGTAATGTCTTTGCAATAGCTTATCTGGATTTTGGACCACGCAAACTGAAATCCGATTCTTTGTTTCTTCAGCCAACAAAATACAGAGGCACCTATTCATCCACCACTCAAAAGCCGTTTTTTTGTGGCTTAAAGGGAGGGAAAATAATAAAAATCCTCATAGTTTGATAGTTGCGGCCACGGATACTTTACCTTCCGGAAAGAAAAAGCCAGAGAGATGGGCGTGCATACTGCATACTGCATACGCAGGCCGGTGGCCGGTGGGTTGACGTTTTTTTTCTTTTTTTGGGGTTTTATAGTTCAGTCCCACCACTAGGGTGGAGCTAAGATTTCTAGGCCGTAATCCGTAGAGACGTAGGGTATCTGTTGTCTTACTTAAGATAACACATGGTTCAACAGACAACAATCAACATTAATTCATTCCTCCTCCAATGGAATCGCACTCTTTCTGTATTTMATGTTGATGATGTGCAATCTGGTCGGTCTTAGCTGTCAATGATATTGCMTCTGAACTGAGTAGCAGGGAACCTGAAACGGAGAAGATAAGGAAGTTTCGGGGGGGAACCCGGTGTAAAGGCTCCGAAGCTCAAGTTAGAATCCTTCAAAGGCAAGATAAAACCAGATAGCGCAAAGTTTGCATACCTCCTCTTTGGGGGGGTAGAGAGCCTTTTATAACCACCTCGCGCACTCACTCCTAGACTTCTGTCAGGTCGGGAATGATTACTTCCGTGCTTTTGCCAGTTCGGGCGTCATTGCCTCTGTTGGGGCAGAACCGTCACTGCTCTTTTTGTCGGAGCCGTCTCTGTAACTGGAGATGGCGGTGGCAGGTGACGGTGGCAGGTGGCCGTTGAAGTGCGGTCGTCAAGCGTCAGATCCCAAGTCAGTCAGGTGCGCCACCCCTGGATATGGACTCCTTCGGTGTCAGGTACGGTGTGGTTCGTCCAATTCAATGCTCTGGAGGCAAAGTGCTTGGAGCGGTGTGCGAGGCAAAGTCTTGAGTTCGGATAGGGGGGGTGTCCCAAACTGTCATGAGACGTGCCAGTTCGGGTCACTGCTTTGTGTGGCATGGGGCCAAAGGGAGAGTTTGGGCCCCTTGTAGGGAGTTCGGGCTCCTCTTAGGGAGTTGGTTTCCTCGAAAGGAGTTCGGTCTCCTCGAGGGGAGTTCGGACCGCTGGTCTCTTCCCTTTGGTGTTTGTACCCTCGGTATACTGCTTTAAGTGCCGAACTACTTGTTTTTGCCACGTAACGTAATTTGCGAGGTCGGGCCAAATCTTTCTTCATCACATGTGATTCAAAGTGTTATAATTGCATTGAGAAAAGAAAAAATTAGATTTGATGGCACCCTCTAATTCGTATTTCCAGAATAAAGAGTCTTTATATGGTCATGGAATCTTTCTATCTTTCTTTTTTGGGAGCCTGGATTATGGATAGAGATGGCCGAGGTCTTGATATCATTTCTGTGTTGCAAGTATTTTTACTAGTTACTTTTAAATTGCTTGAAAGGGCAAAACGGGATGAACGCCTAAAAAATAAAGGACACGAGAAGACAAACGGTGGGTGCGACGCGCAGACAATGGAAAAAGGTAAAAAGCAGGAAAATATCTTAAATTTTTATTTGATAAATAAAAGTGTTAATAAATTTATTAATAAAGGCTTCCTGCTTCCACATGAATTGACTGAAATTACCAAGTGTCAACTTATATAGATACCAGCCAAAAAGTAGGGATGGCATTTCAAGGTCCACTTGACCCACTCTAGTTTTAGAATTTTGTGGACTTAACCATTCTAACTATTCCATAAACCGTATTTAGTGCTTTTGTTGGTTGTTGATAGCCAAACTGAAACAAATAGAATAAAGGGTAGGCGAATAAATACACATCCTTACATGGTAAAAATAGACCATGGGATGGTATACTTTATACCACACAAGACTCTTGCTTGTGAGTTGTGGCAATCCAAGTATTCTCGTCAAAACCCTTTTATTCCTGGAGCAAATGTGATTTTAAAAGCTAAAGGTGGTGGGTTAGGACAATAAATTAACCAAATAAATTATAGCTTATCCTTCTTCTGTGACAATAAAAATTTAGAAGCCAAATTAAATGGGAATGGCGATCTAGTTGCTTTCTGCCGGAGGTGATTTGGCTTCCAATCAGATGATGGACGAGATGGATCCACAAGGAGATGATTAGAGAACCCGGGGTGGTTAGCCCAGCGAGGTCGCTCCGATGCTTAAGTTAGTATACTTGTTGAGAGCTGAAATAGCTTGAGAATATAGAGAGCTAGAGAGCAGAGAAATCATGCGTACCTTGTGTCCTCGGGGTTGGAGCCTTTAAATAGTGAAGTCCTCGCGGGTTTTGTGTCCGGGATCCTCGTTACGACGAGGTCCATTTCCGCGTTAATTGGGGGATAACGTTGCCAACTGATAAGGCTTATCTATTCCACCCGAACCGGGCGGGGAGGAGGATAAGGCTTGCCGTTACGAGGTGTGATCCCGTAAGGTTCGGGATCTGATGGCAAGGTTTCCGGGGCCGTCAAGTAGTGGTCTGAGTTGGTATCCCGAACTGATGCCCTTCAATCCCGAACTGGAGTGAACCCTGAAGTGCCTTGGGACCGAGGTGGTCCTGATGCGACCTTGTGCCGAGGTGACCCCGTCTCAAGGTGACCCATGCCAAGGTGGTTTGATTATCCGAGTTCGATCTGTTGCAGTCTTGGTATGTCAGGCTGAGCTGTCATCTATTAGTCAAGTCGTGTCCATGTGTCCACGTGTCCCCCTATTACTAGGTCGGGCCAAATCGTCCTTCATCAATTGCCCCCCACTCCCCGAGTCGGGGGTTCCGACCCGGTGCGAGGAGTTCATGACGAGTCCAGGTGGATTTGGCATGAGGTCTAGGCGGTCTTCCAAGCGGATCAGCCGGTCGGACTTGTTCGAACCTTCGGTTTAACCAGCAGTAGCCCAGGTCGCATTGGGTGTACGCACAGACGTCGCGCTATTTATGGACTATGCGAACGTAAAAAATGCGCTCAACCGATTTCGTCCTCGGACGTTGTGCAACCGGTTTTCACGAGAACCGTTGGATCAAGCAGATCTCAGCCGTTGATCGCTTCGCGGTGAACTATAAATAGGGGGTCGAGGACCCCTCTTCTTCGCCAAAAATTCTGTGACTAAGCTCTCCCGAGGTCGCGTCGGAGTCTTTCAGCTCGCTCTTTCTTTGTATTCCGAGGTTGTTCTTCTTTTGGTGAGTTTGTTTTTTCCTCGTCGGCAGGGTCCATCATGATTTGGTTGTATCCCGAGTACGCATCCAAAAAACTTAGCAACTCATGCCCTGAGGTCGCGTCCACTAGACGATCTTGGGCAGCGGGAAACAATCCTTTGGGCAAGCTCGATTTACCGTTGGCCTTTTTTACCAGGACTAGTTTAGCTACCCAGCTTGGGTAATGGACCTCCCGAATGAAATCGGCTGCATGGAGCTTCCCGACCTCCTCGTTGACTATCCTTCAACGCTTTGGGGCGAGGTTGCGTTTTTCTGTCTAACGGGCCTAACTAAGGGATCAGTGTTTAACTTGTGAGTTAAGATTCTGGAATCTATGTCGGGCATTTCTGCCACAGACCAAGCAAGTACATCTAAATTTTTAATTAAAAAACTTATCAGCAGAGAGCGGTGCGGTTCCTCGATCGAAGCACCAATCTGGAGAGTCATAGCTGGATCATTTGCTGAGACCGGGATATGGATTGTCTCTTCCGTTGGTGTAGCTTGCTCTTTGGCGTACTCCGTAGGTCACTCGAGCTTGATGTCAGCCGCTAGCTTGACTTTTCCCTTGAGGGCAGCAACGTAGCACTTGCGAGACCCGATCTAGTCGCCTCGCACAACCCCTACTCCATAGTCCGTCGGGAACTTCATGGCCAAGTAGTAGGTGGACACTACCGCGCGTAGTACGTGGGTAATAGGCCGACCTACTATGGCGTTGTACGGGGAGGGAGTCGCGACCACTAGGAGTGTGTGCTCGAATCTTGCAATGTTGGGCCACGTGCCAACCTCTACGGGTACTGAGACTCGCCCTA